ATCATTGTTAATGTTAAATATTAATAAACAAAAAAGACAACATGAAGAACCATTCAATATGCAACCTTTAAGCTACAAATGACGGAGCACGTCATCTTACTTAAGAACATTACAGTTATTTTCTCACTTTTTCCTTGTGTACATAAGGCTAATCTGACTCGCATCCCCCGATGATACAATGGTGTAATTGGATTCCTGGGGAGGGGGAAGCATTGTCCTGGGAATTTATCAAGATTGCATCATTGTCTAGGACATTTGCGCAAATCCTGATCTTCTCTCACAGAATCTGACTAGGGAAGGCTGAAAAGTTGTAGCAATAATCTCCTCAGAAATAAACATGGCATTGCAACCAGCATGTTAGCACACCAACAACAATACATCATGAGATTTTGTCTAGTAGGTTCCATTCAAATTATTTGTTTTTCTAAATTATCTGTTTATTTGTTTGATTAACTGTAATTATTTTTTAAATGGGAGGGGACCTGGGCTTTTTCCCCTACCCTAGGTCCATGCCTTTGTTTGTAAGTAAGGCATACCATGAATAAGCAGAAATCCAAATTGCAACTTCTCATGTTGCAGATGCCAACTTTATCTTATAAATGATCGATGCCTATTTCTTGTATGATAACAGCCAACCTTGGTCTGAGAGAAGTTTTTGCTTGAATCACATTTGTCCAAAGCCTTCCAACATGTGATGACCTTCACCTATGGAAATAATTCCACAGACATGAGGGCGTGTAAAACCACCTAGCTGCATGTTTGTGAAAGGAAATTTTATTAAATCTGACACCTGTAACAAACATCAGATTTATTATTCTATTCATAAGAAAAATAATCATCCAGTCAACCTATGGATCAAGGGAGGAATAGATTTATTTGTCTGTGAATCTCAAAGATCTGGATAGATAGACACATTATTGTTTTGAAATCAAGTTCCTTAAAAAAATCATTTCTGCATGGTCTTGGTATTATTTATTACCTGGGTGATGCAATTGTTTGTTATGTCAATGATGATATCAAATGTATTGAATAATCATTGTGATGGATGTGAGGACAAAGGAATTCATATATGAGGAAAGGATTAGATAACAACACAAAAGCTAAGTATCATCTATATATTAAATAGTTATTATTTTACTTCACCTTTGTAATGGCATTAATTTCAATAATTCTGAAATTGTTTGTTTCTTAGTGTTAATGATTGAATCAATCACACAAGTGATAGTCAGTTTAGATGGCTTTTTTAAAAAAGGTTTAGTTGAATTAATGTTATTAAATGGTTTTTTTTATTTATAATTATTTTTTTTTGATACATCAAACTCAGTTCAAAATCTATCATATTTATATATTTTAAAATTTCTTTTTTGATTAAAAAAAAAAAAAAAAAAAAGTCCAAAAATTTGTTTATTTTTTTTTAGTACATTTCAATTAGATTTTATTAACCTCAGAAGACTACATTGTGCATTAATTCTAAGATAAAAAAATCCGTTTTAATGTTTTAGTATAATCAACAATTTTCTTCAATTGTTTTTTTGAAATAACAATAATTATCTTTTATATATTTATTTGTTTATCTGTCTCAGTTGATCAATAAATCTCAGGTCTCAAGATAATTTATCTTATCCATTTTTAGTAATAATAAATAATTTAAATCTAACATAATTATTTTTCATGGAACCAGTTGAGAATTTTATTTTCTCTTTTATATCAACTATTGAATAAATATTTCTGATATTTATTTGCAGATCCACTCAAATTTAATTCTTTTCTGCCCACACCACAAAACCAATTTCAATTTTAAAATAAATGAAAACCTACAAAGTGAACATAAAATTATATATATATAGGGATAGGTGTATATGAAAAATAATAATAAATATAATGGTTCTAATGAATATCAAAAAGCAATTGAT